CAAATTGTGCCCATCCTAGCACAAACATTGGCTCAGAATGTCCCGTACAGTGTGAAGCGTTTTGATATGGTTCCTACCTTAATGTTTCTAGTCTTATTAAGGTGACGTTGAGCAAATGTAGAAAGCTCCATTTTCTCAATATAAAGTCTAAAATATCTTCGAACGATATAATTGCATGCATGGGGACTGACAAGGGGATCATAGATTGTGAGGAACTAGTATCAAATTATGGATTTTTGTTGTCATAATAGCGAAAGATTGCTATATATCACTATTTTGAATTGTAAGTTACAGTGTGTGTGTTCTATAGGAATGAGGCCAAATAAAAGGAGGAAATTCCTGATCTACAAAACAATTATAGGTGATCTCATGCATTATTATTTAAAATCATCGAGAAATTTGAAGCACAACAATGGTGTATACGCTTAATACATATTTTAATTATTAAGCAATTAAGGTTAACGCTATAAAAATTTAAAAAAAAAATTAGCATTATTATTATGAGGGTTGGCTTATTTCCCTAACACTAGGGGGAAAATCAGTGTTAGCTTGGTGTTGGAAAGAAGGTGATTTTGAATCCTGCAAGAGCGACTTATAATCAGTGGCAGATCTAGAAAAAATTTCTTTATGAGAGCAAACATCTTTTTATCTAAAAGTAAAAATATGATTATTGATTATATAATTATGGACAAAACTCAAATGGTATGGGTTACTGAAGGCAAATGGGCTCAATGGGTTACTAATTATTTGGTTATATAAGCAAGTTTTGGGCTACTGGGGTGCAAAATTTAAAAGATTAAAGAGGGCGAATTAAAATTTGAGATAGCATTCAAATGTAATTGTAAAATGCCTAGTGGTGCAATAGCACCCCACGCCAGTGCAAAAATCCCGCTACTTTCTTACCCTGTGTAATTTGGCCCCTGACTAAAGTTATTGATAATTATATTTTATTTCAGAGATCAGTAAGCTCCGACCTTAGCTCAGTTGGTAGAGCGGAGGACTGTAGTTGTTTGCAGATCAATCCTTAGGTCGCTGGTTCGAATCCGGCAGGTCGGAATTATTATTTATATATCTTTTTATTTTATTTTTTTCCAAACGCAAAAAATTAAAAAAAAAGCCAAATTTTATCATCCCTATTAAAACCAAGGACTACAGCTCAACTAAAAGCTCCTGCTATCCATTTTTGTGACTCCAAAATAAAAGCAGATAAGATGATAACTTCCCTGGCCCATCTGACTCCTCATTCCACCACATATTCCCTGTCAATTCTCCACCACCGGGATATTCCTCGATACCGCCGGAATATTCAGTCGAAGCGAACCATAATGGCTTCCTTCTCCGCCGCCGCCTCCTCAGACCTTCTAGAAGCTGCAAAGCATACTGTAACCAATCCTCTTCATCTTTCAATTCTCTTAAAATATCCTCACAACTATATAAATTAAATGCAGGTAGATAATTATGTCACAAGTGACATGGTCATTGGTTTGGGCTCGGGTCATGCATCCAATTTAGCAATACAACACTTGGGTCAGAAACTACGTCAAGGGTGTCTCACTAATATACTAGGGATCCCTACGTAAGTTCAAAAATCGTGTTCATACATTCAAATTTCATAGTCAACAAATAACTATAAACCTTATTAATTTGTCGCAGTTCAGTGGCCAGTGCTAGCGTAGCAACAAAAGCAGGAATCCCGGTGGACAAGTATGAAGATAACATGCAAGTGTGCACAAATTGCATTATGGTTAAATGATAGTAGATTGTAGTATAAAAAGAACTTTATTGAGTTGAGATATTGGATGTTTGTATGTAGATTGATTTTGCATTTGTCGATGCTGATGTTGTTGAGGAGGGGACACTGGCTGCAGTAATTGGCCGAAGGAAAATTGAAGGTGATGAGTCTATAATTGAAGAGAAGGTAAATTATACTAAATTTTGATTTATGTAATTTTGTTAATTTATTGGGATTGGACGTTTTAAGTGATACTGCGTTACTGTTTATAGTGCATTATGAGGACAGCTAGGAATTTGGTGTTCATGGTTAATGAGAAGCAGTACACTAAGCATGCTGATGGGTCTATTCCAGTCTTGGTTAAAACTGTAAGCTGTGTAAATCATGGTTAGATATAGAAATAATCATAGCTTATATATTTTCTAAAATTTGTTAATTGTTTATCAGGGTAATTGGCTGGAAGCTGCGGAAGAGATAGACGATTTGTTTCTGGGGGATGCAGAGGTTTATTGATTTGATACTGAGAAAATATTTAAATTTATATAAACTTGATGCGATTATGATACTGGGTATTTTGATGTTGTCACGATTTTTTCCTCAAAATTTTGAAGGTATGGAGAAGGCCAACACATGGGCATGCTGATCCTCTTGGTGGCAATTTTCCACTAGTCACCAAAGAAGGGCACTATGTTCTTGATGTTATATTTACTTCTCCTATACTTGATCTTGGTATTACTTTTTCTGAACTACTTACTATAATTTTGTTGATAATACTTCATATTACGAGTTGTGTTCTCACTTTGTTTCAGTCGTTTTTTATTTGATGGATACAGCTGAAGTAGCAAAAACTTTGGATGAAATTGATGGAGTTGTGAATCATGGAGTTATATCTGGCATTGAGTGAGTTTTCCTTGCCCTTGAACTCTTGTTTTTCCTGTCAAATACAGTATGCATTAACAAGAAAAGATTAAAATAAAAAATGCTTCCAAATTTTCATAAAAGAACAGTTGACATGTTATGCCTCATACTCTGTAACACTTTATTTTGGTAAGAGAACACATTGCCATGTTTTATCCTTAAGTTCATATCTTCGTATATCATCGTATATCATCGTCGTGTGTTTTTTTATCTGCCATACGTCATCTAGTACATAATAAATAACCTACTTTACATAGTTTTCAAAGATAAAAACAATTAACAATTGAACTCAATGCATAGGAAAGATCAACTGCTAGATTGAAACTGATACTTTTTGCGATCCATATGATCCCCCCCCCAGCTGTTCAAGCATTAGTTGGAATATCAACTGCTCACCTCTCGGATATTAAGTGTCAACTAACTGCTTTCTCTTCCTTTTATTATCGTTGTGCAGTTGCACTGCAATTGTTGCTTCAACAACTGGAATAATAGTCATCAACAATTTGTCAAAATTACACAGCTGATAGATGGAAGTTTTTGTCTGAAGAAGTTCCAGTTCCAGAAATACAAACGTTTTTGTTCTACATGCACACAGAAGTGTACTCACTAGCTGTTAGGCTTCAGAAATACCTTTATTAAAGACAATCAGTTATTGTTTTATGGCTTGGGGATCTGTTTTGAGACTGGTTATTTTTGAAATCATTGCCAAACTTATTTATTAAATATGGCCAATGCATAGACTTGTTATATAAATAGGTTGATGACATGAAAATTAGTTATTTTATCTTGATATTACTGTCATAGTAGTCTGAATCTTTCCTGAAGTTCAAAGATGAAAGATAACTTCTTAACAGCCTTCTTTTCTTCGCTGAAAGACAAGCTTCGGGGGGGGCGGGGGGGGGGCGGCGGCCGTGAAGAACTCCTCCAGCATACAAGGCATTTGACCATAAACTTTATAATGCAAATGCTGATGTAAGATGTGAATTCTTGCTCTTTTCATATGATATAGGTCAGATTATGCACATCATTTCGCATACTTTCTTACGTTCTACCACCCAAAACCAAAAAGCATAGCTGCAGTTCAGTTCTTTACTCGTAAGGTACCAATATAGAGTAGTAGTATATCAGTTTTCTTAACCATTTAGCTATAACAGCCAAAAATTTATTCACTGGAGAACAAGAACAGAAAGAAAGCAGGAGAGACCTCATAACATAAAACAAGATGACTGTACAATCAATAGAACAACATTCTCATACTTTGCATATCTTTCATTTTGCTCTGTAAAATACAGGATCTGTATATGGAAGCAACATTCTCATACTTTGCATATCTTTCATTTAGGCTAAAAATCCTACACTCTCAAACTAGAGTAAAAAAGGAGCAGGAAAAATTAACAAGTTCCCTACTTTTCCCTATCCTTCCTTCCCTTCCCTTAGTGGGCTCCCAAACTGACCATTTACCATTTAATTTAGCCATAACAACCAAATTTCATTCAGTGGCGAACAAAAACAACATAAGAAAGCAGGAGAGACTTCGTAACATAAAACAAGATAACTGTACGAACTAATGGAAAAACATTATATACTTTGCACATCTTCCATTTTGCTCTATGTGACACAGGATCTCTACAAGGAAACAGCACAAGTTTGCACCTACTATAAAACGGGTGATTATTCCTCCCTGTCTCTACATCAAAAAAACAGTTTCTGTAACAAATTTCTTCCTACATATTTGGCAGAGATTGTGATCACATATTTGTGCAATCTTCATCTTCTACAAACTTCAACAAAATGACAAAAATAGAAGTAAAAAAAAAAAATCAATGAATATCCTATGGTTTTCTTTTACATTGTCAATTTACAGGAATCAGTTCCCATATTGTGATTTTTCGGTCATAGGCTGAAGCGAGCATGTGTGGATTTTTAGAGTTCCAGCTGATACATCTCCCAGGTTCAGGTAATGTTTGTATAAGATCCCCTGTCTCTCGGAGCCATATATATACCTGAGATAACCAAGGTAAGTAACAAGAGCATCAGCATATCAATAATTAGGGATCTAATTCAGAAGTTATAACAATAACAAAGATGTATCAATATCAACACTTTTTCACACTAAAAATACAAAGAATAGGGAAAACAGTCTAAAGCTAACTATTTGTGGGCAAGCCAGGAAATACTTATTGCATAGGACATATCCTTGTCTTAGTAAATTAAGAGCTGGGTTGCGCAGTACAAATTCTCAAGATCCTGGTTCGTCATTGCAGGGATTTCTGCACATTATGTTTCTATAATTGGTTAAGTCTAAGTTAATGCAAGGCAAATTCTAATGGATCAATTTACACTAGCCGGTTACTTCTATAAATGATATCAGCAAAATTGAGTAGCACAGAAGAAAAAGAAGTCATGCACTAGAGGAAAGGACACAACAGACTCTGTTTTTATTGGTTTTCGAATGATTTCGCACATTGAAACCATATTAATCTCCCTATCTTTTTTTTCTCAATCAATTGCAAGATTAAGAGAGGGAAAAAGGGAATGTTAAGAACAAGGTCAGCAGCAACAGAGGAAATCAGAAGCAGGATCTTCAGTATAAAATGATTTTGCTAATTTCATTTTAAAAGTACAAAACCTGTTGTTAACAATAAATAGGATTTTCCTATAGTCTTACAGTTAATGAAAGGAAAAGGAGCATACTTATAATAATTTCATACCTGATAATCATCACTTACACCGGCAACAAATTCCAGCTCAGAACCCCCAAAACATGATCTTGACCCAGAGAAACGGGTGTTCTCCGGCCCTCTGTAACTCTTTACAAGTTCGTTACTTACAATACTCCACAAACTAATCTCCTTTGGAATGTTTATCAGCAAGAATTTTCCATCATCCGATAATGAGAATGAAACAACTGTATTTCTCGCTTGTAGAAAATGGAGCACTTTCGAATGTCTCTGACTTAAACGTACATATTTCCCACAGCTTACAAGGGTTATTTTGCCATCTCTAGTAACATCCAATTGCGAATTCATGTTTAGCGTTTCCGTCTGAGAGTCCATTGTCCCATCAGTTCTCCATAAGGTAAGGCTCCGGTCTGTTGTCAAAGAGAGAATTTCTCCTGAATTACGCCAACAACAAGTTGTTTCGCCAAAACCAGTTTTTCTATAGATCGACAAGCATTCTCCAGAGGTAACATCCCAGCGCCTGATGGCCTCTGCTCGACCACAAGTGAGAAGCTGTTGATCATCAGATTTCCAAGCAACAATCACAACAGGCTGCGTATGACCAGTCAGTCTGTGCTTCTCTGTCAATTCCCCATCTTCATGAACCTTAAAAGGAGGAATTAGTTTTTCTCGTTAGGACACATGGTTCTAATAAGAATACATGCAACAATTTCTTGCTAACATGGCTAAAGGTTGAAGTATCAATGATTTTGAGAACAATGCTTGAGTATCATACTCCACAGTTAGGAAGGAGAAAACACTCCTGCCTCGATTTTATCCCACCCTTGGAAACAATCCCAGTGCACTACAATCAACTGCTGTCTAGTACCATTGGCAAAATAAACAATAAATATAAAATCTAGTTCTATTAGAGCAAGAAGCATGCAGTACTTTACCAATCTCATTGACACCACGATGCCAACTTCTTGAAAATCCAAGTCAACGTGGCAACTTGTTGAAGAGTTTAATGTATATCAGTCGAGAAATAATTACTTTTGTGTGAAGTCCATACATCAGCTAGCAAGGACCAAGACATTATTTGGAAAGAATACCTCTTTCTAGAAAATGAACACCTCTATGAGAACACATAAGAACGGAAGTCTCATTCTCACAGCCATGCCCAAATTTGATTCGTTCAAGTCTATTTTAAAGTTGAGGATTTTGCATATATGCCCCTCAAATCTTCCATATTTGAAAAGTTACCTTCCAAATCTTGGTATTTGCAAAATTACCCTCCAAAACTCGCATATTGGTCTTTCTGCCACTCCAACTTAGCAATGTTGGATTTTAAACAAGGCAATTGCATTATTAAAAAAACAAGGCAATTGCAAAATTTCCAATATTTTTCAATAGGTTTGCAACGTATTCCCTCTTGAAAACTAAAATGGTCAAATGAAAGAGGAAGAAAAAAAATTAATGTGAGAGAATCGGGGGTAATTTCGATTTGAGGGATAAGTTTGCAAATATGGAAGGTGTAAGGGGTGTATAGGCGAAAAACCCCTTTACAGTTTTCATTTCCTATCTAACAACATATTACATAACAGAACAATTTCTATATGCTAACAATCAGAACTGGGCCTACTTGTGCATTTACCTTTGATAACAACAAATAAAGTCTCATTAGTTGAGATACTACTCGGGGCTTAGATAAACTTGCTTCTAGAAGTTGTCGCTGAATTAAAGACCATCTAAAAGGAAATAAAATATGATGCAAGATACATAGTTTGGTAAACTAAGGTTCTAAATATCTACACAATCAAAAGTGAATACCTTATAAAATCTATAGTTTTGATAAGCCCGCGGTTTGAGAACATTTTTTTCCTTCCAGTTTTACCATTTGAAGTATGATGCGTTTCAATATTTTTAATAAGTTCATTTCAACTATCGGTTTCAATATCAGTGGAAAACTACATATATTTATGTATGTCTAGTGATTCTGGCTTAGTAACTAATTTACACCAGCCACGCATGGATACACTACATACTATGGAAATTCATATGCATCACATATTTATCATTATTAAGTACACACACATGCAATATATGGTACGTAGGGGCTGTACACACTCAGATACTGGATGATGAATCATCACCCTATTTTATTTGAAGTTGGGCAAAACTTCAGGCTGTGTCATCTGGTTTAGAATGAAATCAGCTGAGACATGTCAATACAGGCCTACAGGTACAAGGATGTCACTCGATGAAATGAACAGAACCATGAATGTTGTGAAAAATATTGGGAAAACTGAGTCTGCGTGGCATGTTCCAATATTACTAACAAATAACGTAACCATACGACGGAAACTGATATATTTACGCTTTATCACATGGTAAGATCAATGCTTTTCTATAGGAAGAATATATAACATATATAAAACTTCTTAATATATCATCATGCAATGTTTCTCGAAGTTGATGGTACGAAATAACATGGTCAGCTTGTAAGTGAAAATCCAACTGTATAAAGTTGAATGTTTGATGGAAATCACCATGTGCTGATCAGGCAGAGGGGGGGGGGATGGATTTGATGTGTCACCTATAGCATAATCTATGAAATTTAAATTAAACAGATAAAAACCACATCCACAAGAATAATGCATCGTATCTCAACCTCTGTCAGGCTTAAAGAAATATGGAATAAAATCAGATTTCAAATAAACATCCAAAAATAAGGTTACCTCCCACACAATAGCAGATTTATCAGACGACGATGACGCCAAATATCTCCCGTTATTAGAGAACTTCAAAAACAACACTACATCATCATGTGCCTGCAATATATGATCCATAGACATAACAGGATTAAGTAGTTGGCGCATTAAAAGTTGGTCATGATTAAGAAACATGGGGATAATACAGCATCACCTGAAGGCAAATGTACAACCATTAGATTCCAAAGTCAATCATGATTCAGTTGGAGCTAAATGTGGCTCAAAATATTCATAATAAAATCCAATCAGATAAAAGATGCAACAAATTAGACAACAGATACATTAGTTTCATCTTTCCTTACTTCCATATACATGGAGGACATATAAAATGAATGATTTGAATTGCACGAAGTAACTGCATTTTTTTTTACTAAAAATAGTAATTAACAGTTCTTGCGGAAACTTAAAACAAAGAATAGATCATTTACTGTCAAAACTTATCAAGATAACCGGATACTAAGGTACTACTATTGACTAGCCTTGAGCAACTACGTTCTAGTCACTTCATTGAAATGGTACAACATATTTAAAATGTTATTGGTCTTCAGAAAGAGATGAAACAAGAGGGAGATTGATAGAATCAAAGAACACGGGCATTTGTATCATCAGAGTATGTACTTGGTTTTCTTCTTCAACTATTATCAGAGTAGAATGACATCAAAGCAACGATTTGTGGGTGCATTTGTGCCTGCATCACCAGAAAATAGTTTTGACCTGTATCGTCCGTGAAGGTAATTGGCCATTTACACAATCAGTATACAGTGATAGTGCATCCATGGAGTTGCGAAAAAAGGTACAAGCTTTCTCTTGCACATGAAGAGCCTGTTCAACTAAATGCTCCAATCTCCTCTCAGGTATCATAAATGCAGGTGGAAGCAATTTTGCCATTTCTTCTACAAGCTTTAGCTGTGAATTTTTCTTTGATAACCCCTCTGTAGATGAAATAATACATCTAGAAAGCTCATGCACCCGCTTCTTGTTAGTACCAAGGGGAGTAATCTCATTTCTCAATGTTTTCAAAGCATCCAAGACCCTATCCTTTTCCAGAAGTTCAAAGAATTTGTGCTCGTATATAAGAAAAGATGTAGACTTCAGGATATTCTCATCCACCATATCGGATTGACGCAGTGTAGTCAAACTGTCATCCCAATTCCCATCAAACAGATGCTTCCTGAAAATGGTCACTGGAGATGAATACAAGGGTATTTCCGATTCTTGTTCCAAACTTGCAGCCGTTTTCTCATAACCAAGAGAATATAAAGCTTCTGTAATGATCCTAACAAATTCTTCCCTTCTAATGGATCCTGTAGGACCAACCATGCCTTCTTTTCCTTGTGATGACAGAGAAGTCTCCATTGAACCTCTTTTCAGATCAAAAGAAGTCACTTCATGTGTACCGATAAGACTATAAGAAAGGATATACCTGCAAAATATAATTCAGGGAATTACTGACTGGATTCACATATTAAACCTAATAAGGTTAGTGGTGAATTCAACATCAATATTTTCTTATTGGAAAATATGGAAGTGTGATCAGACTAACTTGAAACTAATTGCAATGAGGATTCATAAAGAAAGAACAACATCACCATCTGCCTAGCTACAATCACTAACAGTTGTTCGCCATAACCTAGATAGCGCTTATCAGAAAAATTGCCATTCATTGGAAATCACATGTATATTGCAGTAATAGGTTCTTCTTGCCAACCATTCTACACTATTGTCTCCTTTTCTTGAGTCTCAGTCGTGTGTCAAATGTCATAAAAAAAGGAGACATATAAAAAATGATAGCAAATCATGAAAATATACAAGTTATTAAAACGGGATGGAATTAACCACGATACTGTTAAGAATCAAGAACCGCCTGCAATCCATAGAGGACTGAATTAGGTCAATGACCAAACCCATTGCACGGGAAAGGACTTGGATGATATGTGATTCTAGGTAATTGTTATACTAATAGAAAGGAGTCACAAACTTGAATTCCTAGCCGACACCTATATTTTATCTAAGATTGTAAGATGAAAGGCAAAGTAACTAGTTTGTTCACAAGAAAAGAACAACCCTTCTACAAGATCATGAGCATAGAAATTTAACAGCACAAGCCAACTGCAGAGATAAGCATATATTACAAGATATCATCAGAAAATTTATTAAGAGGATGACTGACACCATAATTTTCTAACACAGCGATCTCTTTACATACATGTTCGTTGTTCAAATGAGGAAAAGAAATCCAAGAAACACGCCTCAAAGATCAGAATCTATGTAGCAATGGATTCACAAGCTGATAAAAGATTCACAGTGTCATGTTCAAGATAACATACATACATTTCATCTTTCAATTCTGTTACTTAATTATATACATCACAAGAACCCAAAGCAAGAATTACCCAAAAAAGCTAAAAAAGAAATTGAGTGACAAAATCAAGAAAATCCAACTGAAATTACCCAAGAACGAAAGATTCTTTCAATGATCACCAAAACCACTTGCAGATGATAGAACAGTAGAATCTACAGGACCCAGAAGCGGTTTCTCTATTGGAGTAGACTTTGGCTTTGAGCTCTTAAGCCCAATAGAGAGAAAAACACAAAACCTCACAAACTAAACGCTTAATGGGAGAAATTGAAGCCAACGAGCATTGTATATGGTGTAAATTTCTTATTCTTTTCCCCCCCACTAAGTTTTCTCTTTTTTTTTTATGGGAGTAAAACCAAGAAAGAGTTCACCTTGGCGCGGAGAGAGCCAACTCAAAAAGGGGAGGCTTCAGCTGATTGCTTGCGCATTACTCAGAACTCAGAAGGATGGTATCTTTATACGCACCAAATGTGCTGACTGTACATTTCTGACAGCAGAGTTGGTGCTTTGACCTTTATACCCCTCCCCCAACTAACCCTGTTTCCCATGGTATCCCCTCTCGCTCCGCCTCTCTCCGCTCCATCGACTCCGACTCCGACTCCTTGCCGTCGTTGTCGTTGAACATCCACGTGGCGCTCACGGTGTTCGATTCCTTTAGACATTTTCTCATGGTTCTAGTGGAGCTCCAGCTCGAGAAACGATGGCGGCAGAGGGATGATCCCTTGAAAAGAAACAACAACGGGGACATTCGAGAGCACCTTGAGGTTGTTATCAGTGAAAAAGCTAGCATCGTTTCGAACGATGAGAAGGGAAAAGTTCAAAATGAGAGGGTAACTGAAACCCTAGTGGGTCAATTTTGGGAGAGGAAAAGGAAAGGAAGTGCTGAATCTATGGTTGTCAGCCAAGGGGCTTCGTTGCATATAAAGGCAGAGATTTTTCACTTTACTCTACAGCAGAAGAAGAAATGAGCTAAAGCAGTGCGGTTTTAAGAATAACCCTACTTTTTTTGACGCTAGGGACTAATTGACGTAGAAGTAGTTATTATTATTAGTGATTTTTAAGTAATCTAACCGAATTATGTTCCTAACAGAATAAGTGAGCGTAAGAAATTATAATGTTGGAGAATGGGGGAGTAGATGTGCAAATATCAAGATTGTTGGGGGTAAACTTGCAGATATGGGTGTCCGAGGGTATATATACCTAAGCCTCTCCTGATTACACACCCGGAAACTCGTACAGTTGTTTTACACCATTTTGTTGGACTTCACCCACCGCGCTTCTATCATAAACCACAATTAACTCTTGAAAATAATGAACTGGGGGTGTTATTTACAACAACTTAATAGATTTGACGGTATAGATTGGAAATATGAAATTTGGGGGTCTAATACAAAATTAGAAAAGAGTTTAGGGTCTAACATGACAAAACCCAGCGGCTATTTTTGTTATCTAATAAGGTGTTTCTGGGACCGATTAAATGAAGGTTTAATTAGAGTTAAACAAATCCTTCTTAATCCGTCAAACTCAAAAGAGCAAAATAAATTAACCGGTCTTTATTTATCAGCCTTAAGAATTATAAACTATCTAAGTAGATCGACAAAAATAGTTCTTTTTTAATTACAAAGAAAACAATGATACTGATAATCATTTCTCCTTTGGAGAGCTAAACAGAACAAATATAAAAGTAAATCGAGCTCCAAATGATTTGTTGGAGCGAAAAAAAAAGAGACTCCATAAGAATCCTAGAGAATAAAAAAAATGTCATTTCATTGAGAAATTGGCTAGAAATGGAGAAGAACCACAAGGAGGATTCAAGGGCCGAGATTAATTCCCAATCCAGAACAAGAGGGGGAACTGAGCAGCAGCCATGAAGATGAGCAAGTAATGCTGCATGCTCGAGTGCTTCTCATAGTTCCTCGGCCCTCCCAGAAGAACCCTTTTCATGGTCTTCACCAAGAAAATCCCCACACAAATGCACATCCATGGAAATACAAAATAATAGGAATGTCTCCAGACGATCCTGGCGAAAATAGCAAGGGACATGCTGGCAAAAGCATAACCAGCGTAGGCTACGATGTCGAGGAGTGGAGCCTCGCCGCTGCCCATGAAATAGAGAAGGCCTCTCAGGAGAAGGAACTGGATGAGCCAGCCTACTAATCCTTTGGTGAACTGCAAGCTCAGAGCTTCTGGAGTGAACCTGCGCGAAACAAATCACGCTTACACTTATAAGAAGGGACAATTGCAGATAGATCCCCTGTAGTATTGTTTTGAACTTACTATGCCTCCACATTCGTTTCGCAGGGAAACCCCGAGTGAATTTTTTTTACTCCTTTACCCTCAGCGGTCTATTTGTGAAAAAAACAATCTTCCTTTGAGGGTAAAAGAGTAGAAAGAATTCACTCAGGGGACTCATCTGCAAAAATAAAATCAGAGAGATAGTTGAGATCAAAATAGCGATTTATGGATATATGTTTTTGGCTGAAAAAAAATCCAATTCCTTAGATATCCATGCATATCCTAGATTTTTTATTTCACCCTTAAAGCAAGGGAATAAATTTATTTCCTTCAAAACCTTTTATTTGGTATGCATAAAAAAAATTGGAACCAACCTTTTAGGAAAAGGAGAGAGAATGAGATAGGTTGCAAGAAAGTACGGTTTTAACTTCTCTCCACAATTTTTAAACACCAAAATATTAAGTTTCCAGTGATTTCCTGTCAAAAGCCTCCAATTTTGATATTCAAGAAATAAGCCACTTTTGGGGGTTTTAGGATATGCGTTTGCACAAATTTTCTGTGAGCCAAACATAATTTTTAGGAAAGCACTTCAACAAATCTTGACTAATTTCAAAGCAGTCAGAGCCTAGAAACCCAAATCTTGAAAATTTTTTTTGGGCCAAAACAAGTACGCCCTAAGTTATTCTACTCACAATAGTTCTATGATTTGTAAAATCAAAAACAAGGGAACAAACACATCACTATTTCAGCCACCAAGAAACCTCAAGAAACATTTCACTGCACCTTCTTCTCTCAGAAAATTAAGAGGCCTGATAGTTTAGTAAACATCTATCAACAGTCAACACATTTGAGTCTTGAGACAGGTTTTATATCGAGACTATTAGACTAATAATAGAATATGAATCTTACTGACTTCATAATTCAGGCAGGATAACCAATAATCTAATAAAGGTATATAATAAATCCCTTCAAAGTCAAAAACTAGGCACTGTAACAATATTATTTTTGTTTGTAATATGAGAGTGATCCAAAAGGGGGGAAACCTTGGTTAATTTGTTTGCATATTGTAATATGAGAGTGATCAAAAAGAGAAAAAAAACTTAATTAGTTTGCTAAGTCAATCTAACCTAGCTTTTAACAGCAGAAGGAGACACTAGTTAGTGGTGTGATTCTGTCACCCAGCTTCGGGAAACATTTTAAACATTGGGACTCGACTCAGTCTTAACTAGCAGGAGATGCCAATCTCTTAAGGTTCGAAGAAAAATTCTGAAAACTACAGCACACAGATCAGTAACCGTGCTAAAGAGCATATTTTCACAATATATGTGCAACTTAAAATTTGCATCATATTTATAGAAGGGGAACGAAGAATACTTCTCCAGGCTATATTTCACCTTCCAAAAACACCGAGTGAGAATCCCGTGAGAACAATGTAGGTACCAAAAGCCATGAAAGGGATATAAAGATCTGGAGCATTTATATCATGAATTGGAGGTTTGTATGAGAGCCTTCCTCCGACTGGATCAGTTATTCTCGTCCAGTGTCCCTGGGATAAATTAATAAAAATATGTATAAATATATCGAGCTCTTGAATAATTTGATGATCTACGTACGCAGAAAGAAACAGGAACTTACCCTGTGAAGAAATGGGAACAAAATCATTTTAAGCTTATTTCTCACATACTGCCCATTCACTTGGAAATAGTATTGTGGATCAGATAGGCGCTGACTAATCTGTTGACATAAAAATACTGTTGAAAAAATTTGGAAGGCAAAAGATAATTAATGATACTATATTAATGGAAAAATCAATGAAGGTACATTGCTTTGCATGAACTCAGAGCTTGATCCCAAAAATTTCTCGCCATACGCTCCAAGTCCACCTCGGATTAATCCAGAACCAGCTCCATAAAAAGCATTTCCAAAAGGGTTAGATTGAGGATTTGGTGTTGGTCTAGGAATTCCAGCCTGACCTCCCAAATTGCCTTCCATTGTTTCACTGTAGAAAATATGGAGTGAATCAACCAGTACGTAAACATATCCTACATCTAAATAATTTATACATGTATTCATAGTGAAAATGAGAGCTGCTATTACTGATAGCAAGTCTTGGAGTTAGTAAAACGTCAGATGTAGCAGATATCTTTACTAAAATTTAGACATTTGCAAAATTTTGATAGTTATATAGCAAGGAATGAAGATTACCAACATATATGCCAGCCAAACTCAAGAAAATAGACAAGAACTCGATATTTTCTGAGTAAAGACTCCATAGTACCGTGGAAATTTGTGCCTCCCTTTGTTGCAATATTCAAAACTGAGTGACGGGAATAAAATTTTAAACATCAAATCCCTCGTTCCAAACAAAAGAAAGAATAGTAGTTTCAGGAGTCCTGATGGCTTCTCTATGTTATCCAGAAAGCCAACCGTTTGAGTGTCAAACAACCAACACTCAACCAAAAGCTTAAGTTTGCAGTTCGTGCTCAATCAGCATATCAAGTAATCGTAATGCCAATAATAATAATTTTTTCACTAATCAGACAATATTGTCAAGTTAGCTATGAGCTTACCTGAACGTGATCTTTTAAGATTTTTCATATCCACATAGACTTGTATACATTCATAAAGGCTGAGAATATGCCATAACATATTAGGCTAACTTATCTCAGGGTTTGTTGCTCGATCATATTGGTTCTCTTGATCATCGTCGCAAATTATTGTCCATGTTCATCACTGCAAGCTAAGAAAAGTATCTTCATACCCAAATTGGAATCAAGTCACAAGGGTTACTCTTTGTTGGTGCTAAATACAAAATTGAGAGATCTCCATGCAAAAATCAAATCAGCTGATATCATATCTTAAATAATTTTTCAAATTTATTTGCCCAACAATAATATTATTGATAAAATGCCCACATAACTCATTATTCCAAAGTAGAAGAAGCAACTAAATTAGAAATTACCAAAATCATATCAATTAATTAGGAAGAAACAACTATGTTATCGAAACCTTCTATCTTTTTACAGGGATCAAGCGTACATGTATTATTAGGTTAGAATCCAAAATCTTATAAAAAATCGATCTAATTCAGTTCCAATTTTTAGGGTTCTAAAACTATATTAACAGCATTATTTCGTGAAATCATTTAAATGATAAAATAATGAATGGAATATCAAGGAAGCAAATATTACCTCCAAATTGCGCGCGATCTGAGAAAGGGGGAAATTGAAGGGGGAGAGATGATCGATTGCTTCCCCGGGGGGGCGCAGTAAATTTTTTGCATAAAACAACCCGCGCGTCCCTCGGTTCCAAACTAGTGCGATCTGCGGCTAGGATAATTCCACGTCATGTAGGACTGCGTTTGCACGACAACGAACCCTCTCTTTCTTTCCTTTTTACGTTTTTCTGATTTTATTGAGATAAAAAAGTGATAATTCCAGCTTATTTAATAGAAAGGCTGTTACTTGTCCCTATAAAAGAGAATGGGGAAAAAAACGACCAAGCATAAATTTTGCAATTTCCTAGAATTTTAGTGGTATCACTGATTGTTGTGTTATCTTGTCGCTGTTTGGCTCAGAAGCCTGCTCAATCAGTCCGATCTTCTTCTCCAGTGCACCACCAAGAACACAAAGGGAGGGAGAAAAGCAACTATTACACAGTCTCTCTCCAGATCTCACAAAGAGGTAAAAGCACAGAGCTTTGAAGGAGCACAGAGCTCAGGTAGGGGAGAGGATCGCACAGTGGGTAGAAGCACAGCGGGTAGAAGCACAAAGCTCACAGGAGCACAAACTCGCAGAAAGGGGGAGATCGCACACAGCAGAGGGAAGCTCAAGCTCAGATCTTCACCTTACCACCTCTACTTCCTCTTCATCCCTCTCCCAAGCTACTACCAACCCATTACCCATATATAGGGATGGGGGCAGCCGACAAAGGGATGAAATCACAGCGGCGGCCATCAAATCCAGAGATCGCGAAGACTTCCAGAGATCGCGAAGACTTAGGAGGAGGTGAGAACCATCGGGTAGGTGAGGGAAAATAGAGGGGCTAGGGCACAAGTGGGGGAGCTGGGCATTTAGTGGAATGGGCCAACTTATTGGGCCAACAAAACAACCAACAATCTCCACCTTTGGCCCAAGGTAGTGCACATAGGAAAAACACGGAACTGCAGGACTCATCATCGCCAAATTATTACTTGTATAATCACAAAGAAGATACAAGCAATGGTAGAGAATACACAAAGTAAACTCTAGATCACAAAGATCGGGGTAAGATCACCAAGCATACCAAGTCCACAAAGGACCGAACTCTACCAAACGGTCATCGAGTTCAAAGGGAAAATCACAAAGCTATTAACAAGCACAAAGCAAGTTAATAGGCCACAAAGGCAACACACAAAGCAAAGGAAAATTACCCAAAATCAAAATTCAAGATTCTTTGACACGATATAAATTTTTCAGCAGGCAAACACTTAGTACCCATGTCAGCAGGATTAAATTCTGAGGGAATTTTCTCTAACTTGACAATACCCTTTTCAACTATATCCCGAATGTAATGAAATCTAACATCAATATGTTTAGTTCTATCATGAAAAACAGGATTTTTGCAAAGTTGAATAGCAGATTGACTATCAGAAAATACAACCACATTTTTATCAAGAAAACCAATTTCAGATATAAGGCCCCTAAGCCAAATAGCTTCTTTAAAAGCTTCAGTGGTAGCAACATACTCAGATTCAGTAGTAGATAAAGCAACAATGGGTTGTAATTGGGATTTCCAACTTATGCAAGAGCCACACAAAGTAAACACATAGGAAGTGGTAGATTTTCTATTATCCCTATCATTTGCATAATTGGAATCTACATAGCCAGCAAGTTTGACACCTTCAGAACACTTAGAAAAGGTTAATCCTACATCCACAGAGGATTTCAAATATCTTAAAAGCCACTTCAAGGCATTCCAATGAGGCATACCAGGGTTTGACATATATCTACTCAAGCAACTAACCGCATATGCAATGTCAGGCCTAGTACTAACCATGAGATACATGACAGATCCTATAGCATTCGAATATGGCACCTTCTTCATATCATTTATTTCAGTTTCAGTATTGGGAGATTGATCCTTACTTAACACAAAATGAGAAGCAAGAGGCACATTCACAGATTTAGCATTAGACATAGCAAATTTACTCAAAATTTTTTCAACATATGAACTTTGGTTTAAAACTAGAGTAGATTTGTTTTTGTCCCTAATAATATTCATGCCTAGGATTCTTTTAGCATCACCTAAGTCTTTCATGTCAAAATTTTCACAAAGACATTTTTGAACATGCTCAATAGACTTCAAACAAGGACTAACAATCAACATGTCATCCACATAAATTACAAGAAATACAGGCACAGAGTCTATATTCTTATAATACAGGCAATGATCAGCAGAACTCCTTTTAAACTTTAAAGATTGCATGCATTTATCAAATCTAATATTCCATTGCCTAGGTGATTGTTTTAAACCATACAAAGCCTTTTTTAACAAACACACATGATCAGGCAATTTAGGGTCCACAAAGCCCTCAGGTTGGTGCATATAAATATTTTTATCAAGATCACCATGCAAGAAAGCAGTAGTTACATCCATTTGTTTTAATTCCCAATTAAAATGAGCAACTAAAGCAAGCATAATTCTAACAGTAGTGAATTTGACAACAGGAGCAAAAATTTCAGCATAATCAATTCCCTCCTTTTGAGTAAATCCCTTAGCTACTAACCTAGCCTTAAACCTAACACTTTCAGATTCTTGTTTCACCTTAAACAGCCACTTACAGTCCACTACAGAACAACTAGCAGGTTTAGGAACAAGTTTCCATGTTTGGTTAATTTTTAGGGATTCCATCTCACTCTTCATAGCACTAATCCATTCTTCAGAATATTTTGACCTTAATGCTTCTTTATAAGTCTTAGGTTCATTGCACTCAAGGGATTCAAACACATTAAAGGCAAACTCAGACATATTACAATCAATCAAATTGCAATCTCTATATCTTTCAGGTTTCCTAATGGTTCTTTTATTTCTATCCCTAGTGAGTTGATAATCATTCAAATCATGCATGTTATCTATTTCCTGCATATCATGCTCCACCTCATTTGGAATAATCTCATCTTGATTTTCAATAATTATATCATTCAATTTTTCTTCAGGAAATGATTTGGGTTGATTAATAATAGGCTTTTGCTCCACCTCATTTGGAGCATCATTTTCAGGAATAGGAACATGTAAAGGTAAACAAGGAAATTCATTTTCATTAAAGACAACGTCTCTGCTTATCACTACCTTAAACCCCGGTTCACTCTTATTCCAAAGCCTATAACCTTTTACCCCTTCAGGATATCCTAAGAAAACACATTTCTTAGATCTAGGTTCTAACTTATCAATCTTTTGATGCACGTAGCCAGCACTCCCGAAAATTCTCAAATTATTTAAATCAAGAGGTTTGCCCGTGAACACAAATTCAGGGCATTTCCCTCCTAAGGGAACAGAAGGAGACCTATTAATCAAATAGGCTGCAGTACAAACAGCTTCTCCCCAGAACTTCTTGGAGAGCCCAGATGTGGCCAACATAGCCCTCACCCTCTCTAAGAGAGTTCTATTCATCCTTTCAGCAATCTCATTCTGCTGGGGTGTATAGGGAACAGATTTATGCCTTTTAATACCCCAAGTAGTACACAAATCATTCAATTGTTTGTTACAAAACTCAAGACCATTGTCTGTCCTAAGAGTTTTAATTTTCTTTCCCGTTTGGTTTTCAATCATAATTTTCCAGTTTTTAAATTTATCAAAAACTTCAGATTTTTGTTTCATGAGTAAAACCCAAACTTTCCTAGAATAATCATCAATTATGGAAAGAAAATATTGGTTCCCTCCATGCGTAGGCACACTAGAGGGACCCCACACATCAGCATGCAAATATTCAAGTACACTAGTGCACTTAGACTGATTAGGAAAAGAAGAAGTAGGAAAAGTAACCCTATGTTGTTTTCCTAGCACACAAGATTCACAGAAAGGGATGGGGGATATTTTATCACTACCAAAGTGACCTCCTTTATGCAAAATTTCTAATCCTTTATTACTCATGTGACCTAATCTATTATGCCATAAAACAGATTTATCACCTATCACAGAGTTAACAGAATCAAGCACAGGTTCAGCATGACAAATATACAAATTGTTTTGTTTTTCAGCAGTAAAAACAACAAGAGACCCTTTTTGAATTTTCATAACCCCTTTACCCCATTTTCCCTCCAAACCATCATTTTCTAGAGATGCACAAGAAATCAAGTTATAACGTAAATCAGGAACATGCCTAACATCCTTCAAAGTAAACACAGAACCAGAGGAAAACCTAAGGCATACATCACCAGTTCCTAAAACATTGCATTTCTTTTCATTTGCCATTGACACAAAGCCATTCTCTATTTTCTTGTAGTTTGAAAACAAGGTTTTAAAAGGAGTCATATGAAAAGTACAACCAGAGTCTACTAACCAATCTGATTTACACAAAGGATCAGATAACACAGAGTTCAAATATGCATAATCACACAGATTATTAATCATGAAAATCTCACCCATTTTGCCCTCACAGACAGCCATATTAGCATGTTCATTTTGCTGATTTTTCTTAGGCTTAGGACAATCTTTAATAAAGTGACCAGTTTCATGACAATTATAGCATTTTTTAGCTTTAAACCTGGACTTAGATCTACCTCTTCCATTTTCAAATTTTTTCTTACTTGATTCCCCATTACTAGCATTCTTTTGGTAATTAGACCTATTCTGAGGCCTACCCCTCACATGCATAACCTCACCAGAATTTTTATTTCCCCCAGAATGTTTTAAATCTAATTCCTTACTCTTAAGACCATTGACCACAACATCAAGGGTAACCTCATCTCTACCATATTTAATAGCAGATTTCACATCACTATATGAGTCAGGAATAGCATTTAGAAGGGCAATAGGAGTATAATCATCTATATGTTTATCACCAGTTAACTTAATATCTGAAATAAGTTTTGTGAAAACATCTAGGTTCTCCTCAATGTCCTTAGACATATCCAATCTAAATTTGAAAAATTTTTCAAGCAAAAACATTTTACTGGGCAAAGAGGTTTCAGTATAGAGTTCTTCAAGTTTGTCCCAAAGGGTTTTAGCAGATTCTAAAATTCCAACTTTTCTAATCACAGAGTCAGATAAGTTCAAATAAATTGTGGAACAAGCATTTTCGTTCATTTCCGCCCGTTTATTTTCAGTGTCAGAAGTTAAATAAGTCTGATCAACAGCCCTAAACGACTTCTGTTGAATTAAAATGCATTTTATTTTTTGTTTCCAAATGCTAAAATCAGATTTTCCGTTGAACGGAGCCATACCATATTGAATCATACCATATTGATTAGCAGCCGACATTTTTCACACAGAAAAAATCAGATAATGGTATCACAGCAACTAGCACGAGCAAGGGAAAAACAAGAGAAACAAAAAATAAATTTTCCAGCAGCTAGCACGAGCAGAAACACAAACAGGAAAATTTTTTCAGCAACTAGCATGAGCTGTTGAGTTGGGTTTTCAGCTGATATACCTGAGCGAAACCCTAGGAGAGGGTTTCGACCTTACCCACGCCCACGCGGTGGTCCGGCGGCGGTCCGGCGTCTGTCCGACGGTGTCCAGTGGCGGTCCGGCGGTGTCCAGCGGCGATCGGCAGCGGTTTTGAAGCACAGCGACACTAACCTTGCTCTGATACCACTGTTGTGTTATCTTGTCGCTGTTTGGCTCAGAAGCCTGCTCAATCAGTCCGATCTTCTTCTCCAGTGCACCACCAAGAACACAAAGGGAGGGAGAAAAGCAACTATTACACAGTCTCTCTCCAGATCTCACAAAGAGGTAAAAGCACAGAGCTTTGAAGGAGCACAGAGCTCAGGTAGGGGAGAGGATCGCACAGTGGGTAGAAGCACAGCGGGTAGAAGCACAAAGCTCACAGGAGCACAAACTCGCAGAAAGGGGGAGATCGCACACAGCAGAGGGAAGCTCAAGCTCAGATCTTCACCTTACCACCTCTACTTCCTCTTCATCCCTCTCCCAAGCTACTACCAACCCATTACCCATATATAGGGATGGGGGCAGCCGACCTAGGGATGAAATCACAGCGGCGGCCATCAAATCCAGAGATCGCGAAGACTTCCAGAGATCGCGAAGACTTAGGAGGAGGTGAGAACCATCGGGTAGGTGAGGGAAAATAGAGGGGCTAGGGCACAAGTGGGGGAGCTGGGCATTTAGTGGAATGGGCCAACTTATTGGGCCAACAAAACAACCAACACTGATATGAGTGTATCTTCTTCTCTGCTTCGGGAGCTTAGTGATCCTCATGGGAGCTTGATGATAGACGATTCTCATGATATCTTGAAAATAGGAGCGTGGATGGAGCCGTAGAAGGCGACGAAAGAAGTCAGAAGGAGCGAAACGCAGAGAACAGGAAAAACTGGCAGAACTCTGGCCGGTCGACCGCGACAACATGCGCGATCGATCGCCAACCTGCACGGTGCAGGGTTTGAGATTGGATTCTGTCCGGTCAACCGCGCCACATGTCGTGGTTGATCGCGTCGGGTTCCTGGGCGTTTTAGGACTCCTTATTGACACAGTTTCCTGATTTGATTGAGCTCGTTTATTTACAAGTTTGTCATCCACGTTGTAAACTCTATAAATAGAGATTGTTTAGGGTTTCTAAACAGAGGAGATTGTTAGAGATGTAGATCTAAGGAGATTAGGTCTAAGAGAGATCAGTTTTGATCTAGAGAGAAATCAGAGAGGTAAGATCCTAAGCAAGAGATTAAGGTTTAGAGAGAATTGGGAGATTGTTCTTGACTCTAGAGAGATTGTGAGAGAGGGATTTGTACTCTATTATTCTCATAATCTAAAAAAGATATTTTCCTTCGCCTAAAACTGAATTGTTCTTGTGTTTTTCTATCGTCTTCTTCACAACCCACTCTTGATAATTCCGCGATCAAGAGTGCTCGTCCGGCGACTCGTATCAATCACTTCCAGTCTCGCCAGCCTTTCAACTTGTTTACAACATCATTAACTTGCTTAGTTTGATTCACAGTTTATCTAAGAAGTTCTATTCTTTTACTCCTTTTAGGAGTTTATGGAAATGCACAAAGTTCCAAATTTGCAAACGAAACATCATAATAATATTGTAATTGCAGAAAGCGATCTATTTCTTAAGCAACGGGTGTAGAAAGTAGAAGCAATAAAACAAATATTTTTTAAACTATAATTACAATACCAGATATCTATTTTGCATGAATCAAAATTGTCTACGCAATTGCTCAGACTTGAATAAAGCTGGAACTACAACATAATTGCTCGGATTTTTGTATTGTTAAAGTTACAAAGCATTTCTGACGGAAGCAGCTCACAGTGAAGAACATATATTTAATTTCCTGTACATTTAGAAAATTAAATTATTGCACCTGTCAATAATGGGTGAAACAATGCAGGTTTTGTGTTCTGTAACCACCATAATTAGCTGAATACAACACAAAGGAAAAGAATAATAATATTCATTCTTCCTAAATTATCTTTATTAATACTTACACGCAGCGGCGGGAAAAGATCCTCTTTCAAATGATGTAATATAACAACAAAGTATATTTCTTTCTTCAGTTTGCTTGTACCTAGGGATAAAATGCTAGCTGACGGTTGCCAAACAAAAGCTCAAATGGACGATACTCTTCCAATATGCAAGCATTGCTTTAAGTTGTGAGCAGGACCAAACGCTGCTCAATGTCATCCAACTGCTAAGATTCACTGGATTTTGATTCTTGCTCACTCTTGCTACCTTTCACCAAATTCTGAACGAACAGTTCTCCAGCCCTATAAGAAGATCGAACCTAGATATACAATCATGCACATAAAGGAAATTTGATTAGGTCTAAGAAAGCTATTGTCAGTGTTTTATGCATCCAGGAAACTAGTGAAAATAATACACTTTATCCTGATCAAGAGAACAATTTGTAAGGAACGATAGAACATGTTATTTTTCCCCACACTACGTGTACAAGATAATAGATGAGATTAGCTACTATTTGCTATGCAGAAATGTTCTGCCAAAGAGGAAAGAAACAACATATCATGAAACTTCTGTGGCCGAAATATGAAGACTGAAATGATCAATGCATAACGTGAGACTACATGCATGGTCATTCTAGTTTATATAAATCATTATACTGTTAACCATGCCAAAGTTCTTAGGAATATGAGGTAATGTTGAGTAATGCTCTTATACACTTCAACAAACTAAAAAAAGTCGCAGGATGACATTAAAAACGGATAATTGATTTCATTAAACCATCATACAATTCAGATTCTATCCCTTCAATTGCCCAAATAAACACTGTGGATAGAAACCCCAAGGATTTGCACCCAAAGAAACATAGGTGCAATTTAAAGGATCCTCCTTCAGCATGGAAACTATATCACCTCAGCATCACGTGCCATAGCAAACGTGACGGGCACCATTGACTTTTTAGGGCATTTCTGAACTATGGTCAAAACTATTATTCTTTGACCATTTCCTTATGTTTTATGGAATTTACGTGCATGTTCAACTTTTACCCGTTGCATTACGAATACTGATTTTTTTGGGAATCTCTTTACTGTGGTTCACATTATTTATTCTTTACCACCATGTTGAAAGTCTACCAATTTGTAAACTGTCATCTTTTTTACCAAGTGTATTAGAATAATTTATGGCAGGTGTCGTTCATCATGAACAATGAAGCCGACAATTCTGTTGAATAGGTAATAAGACTGACATGCACAAGGCCACAAAGAAGCATATAATCTAATCAAGTGATGAGACCGTGGCAAGAAAGTGATGCAAGTGTGACATGTACAAAGAAGCCGATCAACCATTAGGACATTGAATTTCTAACATTGGGAAAGTCATGGTGCGTAAAGGTAAATATGCAGAAACCCAAAATCTGAAAGACAAAAAATAACTAATGAACAACACAGATGCAAGCGATAAAAAAATATTTTACCAGAGGTCCACTAGCGACATATTTGAAACCAATAGATTCTCCATAACTCTTCCAGAAGGCAAACTTCTCAGGGGTAACATACTCTTTTACTGTAAGATGCAAGGGAGTTGGCTGCAAGAGATATTAGCATCCATCGTAGTTAATATTAATAACCAAAAAAGTTCAGACTCAACGATAAACCTAAATAGTTTGTATGCCATTGCACCTGTAAATATTGTCCTAGTGTCAGGATATCTACACCAATGGCCCTTAAGTCACTCATAGATTCCTTCACCTCCTCATCTGATTCTCCAAGGCCCAACATTATAGAAGATTTTGTTATCATTCCTTCCTCGGCTACTTTTGCATGCTTCAGAACAGATAAACTCTGCTCATATCTGCCAAATACATGGATCAAAATGATGTTATAGCTCTTTTGTCAATAATGAGAGTTGAGAGATCATTAAAAGAGATACATATACCACAACCTATAATTTTATCCAAAGAAGCAAATAACTGATATGCCCAGAGATGGGCAGAAAATTGATGAACTCAAACAGTTGCAACCATGGATTCATGATAACAGCTATAAGTGTCTAGAGATGGTTTGCGCACAGTTTATATCAGAAGCAAAAAGATAAAGAGGAATGCCAATACTAATAACAAAAGAAGAGGAGGGAACATAGGTGCTGATCATGTTGTTAAAAAGATGCCCGTAGAAGAGTAAACATCAAAGGTGAAAAAGCAATTGCCTAAACAACCTTGCAACCCAGAAAACTAGAGGAAGTATCTTTGTTTCAGGTGTAATATTGGAAGTGATACCATTAAAATTCCAGTAAATTGCAGCTCTAAATAACGCAATTTTGCTTCTGCAACACATTTTTTTCTACAAATAACTGATTTTTGATAATCCATATGGTTGATGAACTTGTTGGAAGTAAAATAAAACAGACAGTCAAGTGTAGGAAGACACCAAGACTACTAGTCAGATAAAGCATCCACCCAACCGATATCAACTGAGTGAGCTGACATTCTCATGTTTAGAAATCAAAATATACAAGGATTCTCTCCTCTACAATAAACTGAGCATCAAACCAAGATGAAACCTAAAGTTTTCTTGGTTGTCACTTGTCATACATATTTGTAGAAGTTTAAATTAGAACTATTAGTCTATAATTGTACTGGTTGGATATCTAATTGAAATTGCTGGGAAGAAAAAAAAATTCTGGATAGATAATAAACTAGGTGTAAAATCAGAGAATTCAAGCACGGAGGGATTGTGAGAAGATGTTGGTTTTTGTTTTACTCCGTGGGACCATAATAATAGTTGCAAAAAAGAAGATGTGAGCATGATTTGCGGGTAATGAGATCATTTTCTAGTGATCCTCAGATGGACAGAAGAATCTGAATGAATGGCCTCCACGTAAAAAAGGAGGCTAGAATCTAGAACACAATTAAAGACATGGAATTTATTTCAGACTAAATATCATAAATTCCTCTTCTGTAAATGAATTTTAGAAGCACTTGGTAGAAGTTAAGTATCAGAAGATAATTAGTTGCTCTAAAGAATTACTGAACAGAAATTTATCATAGATGTATATGAGACATAAAGGTGATTATTACCCTGCTCGAGGATCTCTGACAATTCTTTGAAGACGTTTCACTGTTTCAATGTTGTGGGCAAATACATCCAGCCCGGAATTCACCAAAGATGAGACAGCATCTAGATCACCGCGGAAATCAGAAGTTAGACACTCAACTAATATCTCAGGTTTAAGTTTCTGCATAAAAGAACAGACCAGAGATTCTAGTTAATACCCTTTATGGAACCAAACACTACACAATTGACTGCACTAGAGCAACTCATACTTGTAAAAACCCTATCAGCAATAATGATACCAAAAGGATTCATCATATCCTAGCTGAAAATTATACCAAAGTAATGTACAAACCTTCATTGCTTCAACTGTCCGAGCAAAGTGGCCACTTCCACCGTCAGGTAAGTCATCACGGTCAACACTTGTCAATACAATATAGTCCACACTGCCAAAATGTAAGTCAATGGTAAGAGCTTTGTCAGGTAAATACTTCTTGTTGCTTGTTATGTCTACTTAGAAATGTGACGCGAACAATAAGTCTACTTGAACATTTGAAATAACTGGCCTAAATTTGAGTTAGGCAAAGAAGTGAAGAGTTTTGAGCATCTAAGATGGGGTTAATGTAACTTAACAATCTAGGCTGGAGTTATTATATGTTGTAAAGGAGCTGCATTCCATTTTTGCTAATATTATTGTTTGAGAATTTGTTATTCAGGCGCTCAATTTTTATAGGCATATACAATTTATTGGTATCGTATTGGATTCCTTCTAGGCATTCACAAATGGTATTTAAAAAATAATAATAATGCAAAACCTCAACAAATAAAGAAATTCTACTGCATATCAAGTTGCATTCCGAGATGGCAGTTACAGATGTTCCTGACTGCCTATCTTAATAAAATATCAGCATGAGCGTTGACTGTTTAATTTCACAAAGTGTAGCTTACTACCTACCTTTTACACACTTTGGTGGAGAAAGAGAATAGCTTACCCCCAACTTGCAATTGCCTGAGCAGTATTCTCAGGCTCCATAGGATCTGGAGGTGGTGGGTTTCTGCTAGTTTTGACTGCACAAAATCTGCATCCACGAGTGCACGTGTCTCCTAGAAGCATGATAGTAGCCGTCGCAATACCATCCCCTTCTCCACCAGCTCCTCCCCCTCCATTCCAACACTGCTTACAAAACAACAACAAATTCGTTAGTGCAAACAACACAGCAAAGCCTTCTTAATTGCTTCCAATCAAGTTCTCTTGGACCTACCTCCAATCCTCCTCATCTTATTAACTATAGTCTTATCACTTTTTCTAACCAGTGCATTTTGCGACCCCCTTGACACATGGCCAAATCATCTCAACCAATTTCTCATTTCACCCTCAATAGGGGTGTTTTTAATATCATAAGAATGTGCTTCTTTTCTATATATCTCTTAGCGTATATTCACATGTCTATCGTGAAATTCTCATTTCTGCTACAATCACTTTTTGCACATGTTTTTTCTTAATTCCGCAACATTCTGATTCAGAAAATATTGTTGTTCGTATAGTTTTCATATAAAATTTTTATTTCAATCCCATTAGTATCCCATGGTCACATAGAACTTCAGAAGCACTCTTCCAGTCTAACCATTCTGATTAAGTATTACTTTGTAGTAGATGTGTACTATATACTTATTCTTTTTTTCACAATTTTATCTGTTTTATTCTACTACGACTAATTTTGCGGATCTAAGAGCTTCTATCCATTTTTCATTAGTGCACCAATAAAAAAATTACCGAGTAAAATTGAGGACCTGTGCTAATTTCAAATACTCAAGTCACCTATACCCTTCAATTCAACCGAGAATCTAACTTAAATAAAATACTTACAAAAAAGTCATATAACTTTATTTTAAAAAAAATCAACTTTTTACCTCTCCAATATTAGGGCACTGAGCTTCAACACAAACAGTATTCAACTTCAACTTAGAAAGCGATTCCTGCAACTTCGCGAACTTTTCCCCTTGAGGCGCTCTCTGACGAAGCCATTCGGGTTTCTTCACGTTCGCATCTCGGCCCGTATGCGGACCCATTCCACCCGGATACGCCCTCGATTTGCTCGTCGACATTGCCGCCGACTCGAACAACTTCGACGGGTTAGGGTTCGCATCGGAACCCGATTCGGCCTTTTTAGATGAATCAGTGACATGAGATCGAACGATGAGAACTTGATTTGGGGATTTGTGTTTCTTGGAATGGATTGGGAGCGGAGAGATTAAGGGATTGGAGAGAGATTTTGATAGCATGGTTAGGTTTTTTAGTTTAAAACCTAATAATTTGGGGAATTAAAGCGAAATAAATAAACCCTAGAGATTGAAATAGGGATTGAATTCTGACGAGCAAGGAGAAATCCGCCATGAATGCAAGCCAAGAAAATTTCGACGAGTAATTACGTTATTACCCTCCGAAATTTTTTTTCTTTTTAGAGCATGTTTAGATTTGGGTTAATGAGTAAAGATAAGCTAGGGGCACCTTAACATTATTTGCGAAGTTATTTGAGGTAGATGTCATAACATGGAAATGACTAAGTGTTAATCTTCTCCTAGGAGTCAACACATGTCCTGAATTAGCTATGCACCACATCGATACTATCCTATGCAGGACGAGTCAAATAACGTCATCACTCGATCTTTTCCGAGAAGGGTTGAGTCGAAAAGCGTCCTCACTCGGATCCTGCTGTTTAAAGCCGACTTCATACCTCTTCATTTTGCAAAACCAAGTCGGAGAGTTCTCAATCTGAAATGGTCGAATCAAAAGGCATCTTTAATAGACCCCTCGCAGACCCGTCGTTCTCGTACTCCACACCGACAACCGATCACCGTCACATTAAATACATGGTCAGAGCCATCATTATATCAACCCCAATTGCACATCAAACCTCGTCACACTGTTACCATCACATAAATCACATAAGTGACTTGTACCGCCAACAACCGACACCTATAAAGTATCAGCAGAATAAGCTAACTGTTTGGACTCGGTTGAAGTTACGCAACAACCTTCCTAGATCTGCTATAAATGAGTGCATCGTCTACTGTATGAGGATAAATAATTTTTTGTAATATAACACACTGCAAACATACTTCCTCAATTAAGATCAATACTAACTTGACCGTCGGAGAAACCTCTGGAGAACCCAGCTCCAATCATCTTACGTATTTTCTGTGTGTAGGATCAAATCCTCTAACCAATAATCAACTATCGAAAAAGATAAAGGAACCCTAAAACCCTACATAACCCACACTAAATCTCCCTGTTTGATATCAAACATCAACAGTAGATAAAGTGAGCGAAATTAAGGTAACTTGGGGGGGGAGGGGGGTTAGATTTTGTTTCCCTCCAAATTGATAAGTAATGAAAGAAAAGCGGACTCTTAAAAAAAAGAGAACATTACATAAAGACAAATTTATCAAGATGAGATCACATAATGGTGAAATAACATGTAAGGTTATTATATATATTTCCTTACATTCCCTTTGCTTTATTAAATTTTCCAAATAAGGTAAAATTCATTCCCCTTGATTCTCCTTACTAAATTTCTAAACAAATTTTGTATGTATTAACTTCTCCCAACTTAACTTATTTTATGCTCTCTTAGTTTCCCTTTAGTAGGGAATTCCAAACATGCTCTTAGAAAAAAGATTTTGGAAGGACATGAAATTAGGAGTTGTGTGTGTTTCTTTAAGAATTTATTTTATCACTAAGTTGCATCCACTTGTCAAAGTCTTTGTGTATTCATGCTGACATGTAATTTATTGGAGTGGTAAAAAAAATTCTCTTTTTTCCCACTACATAAGCCAATTTAAGATTTCTTGATTTAAATTACTGTCCAAATTAACACGATTCAAATTAAAACTCAAAAACCAATGGCGCAATTTAAATGAAAAATAATAACTTTATATATTCCCAAACAATTTTTTGTACTGCAAGAAACAAAAGCATAGGATCATTACAAACTCATAAATTTTGATTTCAATTTTCAACAAATGACCGACATTTTTTTCTTATAATACAATTATCAGTTTTTCTATAGAGTGCCCATGGGCACTCTATAAGAGAGGAAAGAGATAGAGAAAAATGAATTATGCACAGAAATTAATGCAAATCAGGAAGGACCATGAGCTATTCATTTCTCTCTATCTTTCTTCTCTTTTATAGAGTGCCCATGGACACTCTATAGAAAAACCGTACAATTATATATACAATTTATAGTCTAGTTATCACTCAATTAAATATGAGAAAAAAATTGACGTGAGATGGTATTTTGAGGAGGATGAGGGGAATTGTGAGGCTAAAAAGGGAATATGGTGTTTCAAATCTCGAGTTTGCATTTGTCGGTTCGATGAAATCAATGGGCTTTCGGACTTTGGGGAATCCGCCCCAACTGCTAGCCGATTGGTTGAGATAAGTGACTAGTGAGGTCTCTTGCAGCAATAGTCCGCACCTTTTTTCCGCTCTCTTTTAATTTATTATTTATTATTTTTGTCATTTTTCAAATGTTTATATGATGCGCTCGCATAAAAATGCTTTGCATAGTCAATCTAAATAAGATTGAGAGATGTGAGCATTAAGAGGGGGGAAATGCCTTTAAGGACCCAGAATATGAGACTAATGGAGGGGATAGATGATGTGTCTCCTCCCTATTGTATAATGAGCTGGTCATGCCAGCTTATTATGCAATAGGAGGGTGACATCTCACATGTCCCCTCCAATGGTCCTATATTTTGGGTCCCTATAGCAGCACTCTTAAGAGGGAGTTCAGGACCGCTCATTTTTTGAGGCTCGTAAGTTAGCTAATTATTAGTGGTTTTTAGCTTTATGATGAAAATACTACAAAATTGCTTGGATAGAATAGTATTTTTTTGCTCAAATCTTGCTCATCTAAATGAGCTTATAAGCTAGTTTCTCAGAAGTTAAGGTATACCAACTTTTTAAAATAGGGCTTGTAAGTTAACTTATTTAGTGTTTTACCAAACATGTATAAATAAAAAAGTTTAACTTAAAAGCTAGTTTGATCAAAAAATAAGCTTCCCGAACATCTTCTCAGCGTGAGATATTTTGTTTGCTTTTTTGTTTCATTTTCGACCTATCAAAACCAGAAGGATATAGATTTGGAGTTATACCTCAGACTCTCAGAGGTCTCGATGCTAGACTGAGATCATCCGTGATCCATAATACGCAAGTGCTCCAAGTTCACGGCATCTCAATCGTTAGAAATTCAACTGGTTTATTGATTTGATTAGAAACATGAATTTGCTTCTGCTATTGCTGAAGGGCCCAAACTTCGTTTGGACCTAATTATGCATGAAGGCTTAGGCCCGTTTTCTAACTCAATCGTTCATCATCTGCAGCATATTTTTTTACCTCCTCACAAAAATGTTAAAATATTGATTATAAGTCTCAGCCATCGCAAAGTTTAGGGCAAAGTTTAGAATGTGTTTGGCCAACTCCAAAACTTGTTTTAGTTAGTACAATCTTGATTTAAAATCTTATATTTAGTTTGACAAAAATTAAGCCCAAGTGGAGCTAGTTTTTTTCTAGTTCAAATTCTAGGCCTCAAACTAGTGCCTTTTGTTACCAGTTTTTTCTAGTTCGAAACACTAGACCTAGTATTTATTTATTTTTTTAACCAACCATTATATGAATCAAGTTTTTGCATGTTTAACAGAGAACTAATCCAGGACCAGTTTCATTTTGAAATTGCCGAAGAGGCACTCTTAAGAGCATGTTTGGCAACACTTTAAAACTGGGTCAAGATGGTGCTTTTTCTATTTGGCAAAAAGCTTAGCCATTATTGGCCTAGTTTTTGTTACGCCAAAAGACTCCCTAAACTGGTTTTGTCGTGAACCAAGAGGAGCTAGCCCGCAACTAAACTGGTTCTCACTTGACCAAGTTTAAAGCCCGGTTTGGCCCACTTGCCAAACACACACTCTAGTTCTAGTCCTGCCAAAACAGGCACGCTCCCGGCCAACAACAAAGTAACCTCAATCCGCAAATACTTAAAAGCCTGTTTGGATTTGTAGGGGGTGAAGGGAAGTTAAGGGAAACTAGGTGAGAGAATGGAAGGGAAGGGAAGGGAGTTCCCTTCCCCTTGGTTACACCCCAATTTGAGGGGTAACAAATTTTATACTATTAGGGGGTGAACCAATGGGAACTAGGGTGAATAACTTCACCTCCTAAATGTTCCCAAACAAGGTGAATTGTTCCCCTAACTTCGCTTCACCCTTATTCCCCTCAATCCAAACAAGCCCTAACAATATAGGATTATAACCCCATGACAACTTGAGCTAGTTTTCAATTATGTTAATAATAATAATAATCATACAAACAATATTTTTCAGCGTGAGAAAAAAAAAGTAGGTAAACAGAGTTGCTGTGTGTCGGTGCACATAGCTGTTCTCACCCCGTGAGTCGTGACCACCAATAATGAGAAATCACAAACCAACAAGCACCTAACCTTCTTAAATTTAATGCAACAGTGAACCAAAAGGAGAAAGAACCGATAGCCAACCAAGCTCCCGTAACTTGATACCATCACATGCCAAAAGATTCAAGCAAAAAACAAAGGCCACTACCGCCTCATAATAACTTGCTGTAATCTTTACGAGAGAACAATACAATAAGTCATGAGCTCATCAGCTACAATAACAGTAAGTAGTAGAAAACCTAAATCTACACTTTCACTAATGAAAAATCAAAAAGCCATAGCCAACGGAGCGCTATAGCCTTCTCTATGTGATCTTTGCCATCTCCATGCAACCCGAAGGCTCTCTAACAGATCAGTTCTCTGTGCAGTCCAGTTCAATTCTAGATTGATTTTGGATGGGTCGCTGTAAACTTCGGCGTAGTCTCCTGGTCGGCGATTGAGATATTTGACATTTACATTGACTCCGGTGGCCTCCATGCATGCCTCCACAAACTCCTTCACCGATCTTCCTGGAGTATAGAAATTTATGGACTTAGATGGTCCGTTTAAAAATAGATCTTTTTAGGGTTAGTTGCACATGGACCCCCCCTGTAGTATAACTGTTTTGAACTTGGCACCCTTTTAGTTTCATTGTTGTAGATAGACCCCCTGGGTTAATTTTTGACTCTTTTACCATCAATTAGACTCGCTAATTTCACCCAGGGGCAATATCTGCCAAAATTTTCAGCAAGGGTAAGATTAATCAAAAAAAAAACCCAACGAGGTCTATGACTCTATACGCAACAATGAAACTACAGAGGAAGTAAGTAATCTATATGCATAAGTGTGTGTTTACTCAAAAGAATTGCAAAAACAAGTAGAGTATGTCTATAGATTAAATTGTTGAAATGACCTTTTCCTGTGCCGACATTGTAAATGCCCACTTTGTTAGCTTCTGCCTTGTCGAGGGCTTTAACATGAGCATCAACCAGGTCGGTGACATCAATATAGTCTCTTATGCAAGTGCCATCCGCAGTTTCATAATCAGTTCCTCTCACCTAAGAGTCAAAGAGCAGATAGTATCAGAAGTCTAAAATGAGATTTTAGAGTTTATATTGAAGTTGATTTCTGAAAACAAGCATCCGCTATTGAGTTCCAAGTGGTAGACCTTAAAATTTCACAGATTTTATTACTTATGCATTTTATATACCTTCAGGCCTGGAATGACTCCTAATGCTGCATCAAAGCATGCACCCGAGATACGCCCATGCTCCCTTAGCTCAGGTTTGGGAGATTCACCAAGCATTCCCTCTGGATCAGAGCCAATGACATTGAAGTACCTAATCATTGAAGGCAGAAATTAGTATTCTCAGTGGCAGAAACTATTTCCTCATCGCCATCAAATAATTAAGTATCGATTACTATTTCAGCTATATACCTTAAAATCATAACAGCCATGTTTGATCTCTTTGAAAAATCCAAAATAATGTCCTCCGCCATTTTCTTGGCCTTTCCGTATGGGTTAATTGGAAACTGCATTCATCCATAGGACAAGGATTCAAAACAATGAGCTTCAAATTTCACATATCCTTTTACTCGTAATATATCTTTTGATATTTTATTGCGATTATGCAATTTGGTTCAAATTTCACATATTAGTCTTAATGCATATTGGATCCTTTAATAAACTCACCTGTGGAGTGTCCTCTGTTATGGGCATCTTTTCAGGTTCTCCATAAGTTGCACAAGTACTTGAGTAAATCAAGGTTTTGACATTATTTGCTGCCATAGCCTCAAGCACCATCAAAGTGTTTGCTGTAATATTGCGATAGTACCTGTTATAATTAGGAAAATTGTAAGGATGAGAATATGGTTGAGGGCTTAAAATACAATATGAAGCAAATAGATGTGAAATTAAGTTTTTGGCAATAACATGTAGAATAATGACAAAATAAGTGAACACATTCAAAATAAAATGTAAAACATAAGCACAAAAATGACTTTATTTTTAATCAATTTTAAAAAAAGGTCACAGGAGTATGTGTGGACGTGAGGCGTGTGGGCCAGCAGCAAGACGCGTGAATGGCTTCATGTGTGGACCACGACACGTGGTTGGATTTCACCAGCTCCGGTTTTTTTTTTTTCTTGAACTTTGGTTTCTGGCCCACCCGAACACAACAGAGGTTTATAAAAGCCTTCCCTAGGGTTTCGTGCGGCTTGAGCAAGTGCGTGGAAGGGTTTTGTGCGGTGATTTGAGTGCGGCTGCAAAAGAGAGCTGGTTTTTTTTTTTTTGGCGGCTGCTGCAGACAGAGAACAAAAGCAGTGCTTTTGGTGGTTATTCACGGAGGAAAAGCAAGTTTTTCGTAGTTGTTCTTTGTTTTTTGGCACTCCTTTTGAGAGAATATTTGTGTGAGGGATCTGAGAGTTTGTGAGAGGGTTTTATTTGTGAGATTGTAAACCCCAATTGTATCTCTCCCTCTAATAGTAGATCTCCCCCTCCTTGCCCCGTGAACGTAGGCAGTTTGCCGAACCACGTAAAAATTTGTGTTCTTGCCGTGATTTGTAATAGCTTGTAGGTTCCCTCGACGCGCAGTCCTAGAGCTGACGAGAGGAAGAGCAAATATCCCACTTTGATGGGATATTAGGCTTTCAGATTCTTGTTCCCTTTGAGAAACAAGAATTCTTATTGAAGATTGATGTTCCGAAGTTCGACGGCAAGATTAATTTCGGATTGTGGAGGTGTCAGGTGATGGACGCCTTGGACGCTCAGAATTTGGAGGAGACTCTTGAGTTACAAGAGAAACCTGCCGAGATGGAAGCTAAGGTTTGGAAGAAGATGAATAGTAGGGCGTGTGGAGTTATTCGGTCATGCTTGACGCCGGATCTTATTTATGACGTGATGAACGAGACGTCGGCGAAGAAGATGTGGGAAACACTCAATGAAAAGTATCTTACTAAGAGCATTGAGAATCGGCTTCACTTGAAGAAGAGGTTTTACCAGTTCAAGATGAAGAGGGGAGTTTCCATTAGGGAGCATGTTAATAACTTCACAAAGCTACTTTTAGACATGGCTAATGTGGATATCATGGTTGAGGATGAAGACAAGGCGATGCTACTTTTGTGTTCGTTGCCCGAGGATGATTATGGTACTTTTGTCCTAACTATGATTAATGGAAGAACTACTGTTAGTTATAAGGAGGTGACCTCAGCGTTGGTGAATTATGAGTTGAGGAAGAGTGTTGATGAGTCCTCCGAGAAGGCATCGGGAGATGCATTAGTAGTTCATGGCCGTGGTTCAAACCGAAGCAAGAGGTCGCAGTCTAGAGGTGCACATCGTGGGATTCGTAGGAATCAGTGTGCCTTTTGTAAAGAGGATGGACATTGGAAAGCTGAATGCTCAAAGTTAGATCGAGCCGAGAAGAATAAGGGAAAAGCTGTACAAGCTCCAGAGGTGAATGTTGTCAAGACTAGTGGTAACAATTCGGATTCGGATTCTTCAGGCTATTCGTTGTCTGTACTTCCGTCAGTTTGTGTTGCTAACTCTACAGAGTGGATGTTGGATTCGGGTGCTTCATACCACGTTTGCCCTAGGAGGGATTGGTTCTCCAGCTTTCAGAAGTTGGAAAGAGAGGATGTTGTGCTCATGGGTAATGGACATGCATGCTCTATTGGTGGTATTGGTACCGTTCGGATTAAGACGAGTGACGGGATGGTGCGGGAGTTGGATGAAGTGAGGTTCGTTCCGCAGTTGTCGAAGAATATCATTTCAGTAGGAGCTTTGGTGGCATCTGGCTATAAAGTGACATTGGTGGATGCACGTTTGAAGGTCACATCGGGGTCCATGATTGTGATGAAGGGCGTCAGAAGGAGCAATTTGTATTATTTGCTCGGAAGCACGGAGATTGATAGGGAGATGACGACTTCATCAGATTCGGCTAGACTGTGGCGGTGTTTGGTGCTGGGTTATTTGATTCCTGCAGTTTGAAGTCCTGTGAACCCATTGGTATGAGCGAGAAGACCGAGATGGAGTTTGACACTTCTATCCATCATTCGAGGGGTTTTCTGAGGGGTGTTCATTCAGGCATTCGGGGGCCTTCCAAGGGAGCATCATTGGGAGGTAATAGGTATATGGTTTTTACAGTTGGGGATTGTTCTAGGCATTGGTGGGTTGCAACCAAGTCTCGTTGGTGTGAAGTCCTAGAAGCCCGCAACAAATTGAGAAAGTGTATTGGCAGAAAGGTGAATGTACTTCAGTCTGATGTTAGAGGGAGGTACAAGAGGGACCTATATCTGCATTTGTGCCGAGCTCACGGCAATAAGAGACACTTCATTGGTGTGGAAACTTTGAGGCGACGTGATGAGATGGCAGATTTGGGGAGCTGTTCCTTTCTGGAGGAGTATAGACATTTGATATCGAGCATTGGCATTGGTGTGCGGGCTATGACATGTTTGAGCCATCTTATGTATAGGTTGCCGACTGCTGCATGTAGAGATTTTGGATCTGGTGGACCTGTTTTAGATTTTGGGTTGCGTCGGATGTTTGGCTACCAAGCACTTGGTCACATCGTGGATGTGAGATTTGATCCGATAGCACATTTGGGATTCAGAGGCATGTTTGATTATCAGGTATTGGCTTCTGATTTTGTTCTGAGCAGGTATGTCACGTTTAACTCTCGGCAGGTGGAGAGTGGTGATCAGATCTTTGGGACATCGCAGCGGGTGGAGAGTGATGCTACTCCACGTTGGGTGGAGACTCCAGATCATACTGTATCATTTGGAATTCCAGCTGAGGTGACACAGATTGGGGATCATTTGGATTTGGATGCAGATGATGAGTTGGATTCGATTGCAGCTGATGGACTTAATTTGGATACGGCCATTGGTTCACCTCAGATGGAGGTGTTTGATTTGTCTCAATTTGGGGCCATTGGGAGTGCTATCAGTTGCAGATCGTTTGATGATATTGGAGAAGAGTTACAGACTTTTCTATTTGATTGAGGGCCTTTGGAGGCCATTTGGGTGAACTACGTTCGGCTTGATTCCTTGGGCAAGAGGATACGTAGGCAGTCTTTATGATGCAGCCGGGTTTGGATTAGTTGATGGGGGTGAGATCGATTTGGTGAGCGACATCGACATTTGGGGTGAGTGTTTGCACTCTCATTTGGGTCTCAGCAAGTGAGGCATTTGGTGTAGTCGGTGTAGACTCAGTTTGATTGGTGAGTAGACACTATTTGGTTTGGGTTGAGTGTTCGCACTCCCGTTTGGGTCTCGACCTGTTGTGGATGGAATCCGTTGTCATGAGTCTGTTGCCATGACGTACTGGATACAACAAGTGAGGCATTTGGTTTGGTCGGTGTCGGCTCAGTTTTGGTAGAAAACTTCGCCGAGGTGGAGAATTGTGGACGTGAGGCGTGTGGGCCAGCAACAAGACGCGTGAATGGCTTCATGTGTGGACCACGACACGTGGTTGGATTTCACCAGCTCCGGTTTTGTTTTTTTTCTTGAACTTTGGTTTCTGGCCCACCCGAACACAACAGAGGTTTATAAAAGCCTTCCCTAGGGTTTCGTGCGGCTTGAGCAAGTGCGTGGAAGGGTTTTGTGCGGTGATTTGAGTGCGGCTGCAAAAGAGAGCTGGTTTTTTTTTTTGGCGGCTGCTGCAGACAGAGAACAAAAGCAGTGCTTTTGGTGATTATTCACGGAGGAAAAGCAAGTTTTTCGTAGTTGTTCTTTGTTTTTTGGCACCCCTTTTGAGAGAATATTTGTGTGAGGGATCTGAGAGTTTGTGAGAGGGTTTTATTTGTGAGATTGTAAACCCCAATTGTATCTCTCCCTCTAATAGTAGATCTCCCCCTCCTTGCCCCGTGGACGTAGGCAGTTTGCCGAACCACGTAAAAATTTGTGTTCTTGCCGTGATTTGTAATAGCTTGTAGGTTCCCTCGACGCGCAGTCCTAGAGCTGACGAGAGGAAGAGCTGATATCTCACTTTGATGAGATATCTGGCTTTTTGGTTCTTGTTTCCTTTGAGAAACGGGAATTCCATTGTGATCTAATCTCTTGTTGTGCACCTTGCGCACCGGAGGTGCTGCCGAAATTTCCGCTGCGCACAACAGTATGTAGTCTTACAACTCCATGTAAGCAGTTTTTCAGAGAGCAAAGGCACCAACAAAAAAGAATTTAAAGATAATTTCAAGAAACACAAGTAACATAACCATGCAGGACCTCACAAACACTCAATTTATGGATTCGTCCAACACATAACACAAGAAAAGGATAAAGAATGATAGAAGTCAACTAACACTAAAAATTAGGGGCACGAATAAACTTTGGGCAAAGGAAAAATACCTAAGAGGTTCAAGTGTGCTCTCGCCCACATAAGCAACTGCTGCAAAGTGCATTACAGCATCAAATGCATTTTCTGCAAATATTTTGTTGACCTAAACTCTGGTTAAAGACCCAATAAATACTTTTTAATACAGATTCTTATCTACGGTATCATTTGTTCCATTATAAATTATGCAAAGGATACAGCTTGAGCATCCCCCAGATCAGCAAGAATAAACTGAAGTCTTCCAGGCTCCGGAAATTGCTCCTGAAGAACTTTAACGGCTCCAATATTTCCCCTGGAAAGATTGTCCTGTCAAAACGAGGCAAAAAATTGTTTGCTGCTATAAATATTCACGGTTTATATAAATAACCATATAAAATGATGGAATTTAGATAGATGTTTGGGCACATATAAAGAACTTACAACAATAGTTACTCTATAGGAGTCTTTTAGGAGGCGAAGTGCAGCATGAGAACCGATATAGCCCGCACCACCAGTTACTAACACGTGCACCACTCCGGGCTCATGGCGAGAGAACTAATAAGATGAAAGGATAAACTTATGAGTGAAGAGAGAGCAAAAATGTTTGGAAGTTAGCACACAGAGAATTGACTTCAGCTAGAAACTAGCAGATCGGAAACATCACAGGTGGTAGATAATATATTATTCTCACACTGGCAAGATTTCGAAATTTCATGACTCATCAAAATTTATTACTCAGTGTAAACATGTAATTCACCAATTGAAGTAAATAGGCTTCAATGTTAACATTGTGCAGTTATTTTAGAGAACTGAGTTATATCAATTACAAATCTATTATGGATGATATGGATCAAAGGGTCATCCAGCTAAATTTTAACCAAAAAAAAAAATTCAGAATAAAAAAAAAATTACCGGGCTTATGCTGTGAAAACTGGAGGGCTGCCTCAGAATCATAATGCACAAGGCTGTGAGAACAGCAACCATGAGAATTTTACTAAGAACATGATGTGACCTCGGTTTTGCATCAGTATATTCCATTTCTGCGAAAGGAAGAAGAGTGGATGACTTGAAGAAGTAGCAGAGGAAATAGAAAAAAAATATGCATTTGCATGGGTTGATTCAGATATGTTCAGTAAAGTAGTATAAGCCATGCATTGACTCATTCTTTAAAGAAAATGCAGTAGGAAATATCTAACTAGAAAAATAGAGGTCAACAGAAGTTCAACACACCAGCAAGCATAATCCTGCCAGAAACCTAAGAAGTTTACAGAATACCCAAAATAAATAACAATAAACTAGCATTTCAGTAAGATTCTGCATCTGTGCAGTTCATTATCGATTATCATAATAAAAATTGTAGCCATAAATAAGCTATTTTTTTACAAAATGCAGCGGGAAATGTATGACAACAAAACTATGTATCAACAAAATTTCAACCATCCAATCACACCAGCAAGCATAATCCCATGAAAATGCCAAGAATTTCACAAAATACCCTTAATTGATAACAAAAACCCCACAAATACTTATCTACTAGTACTGCATGTTGGGTAAAGTTGTATTCTTTTCATATGAAAACAAGAAACAGCACAAATTTCAACTGACCCATCAATCAATATCAAAGAACCACTTGCAGAACCATAATCCTAAAAGATCTTTACCTGAGAATGAGCAAGACCTAGGGAGCCTAGACTGAGATCTAGTCCTGCTCACAGGCAACAATTGAGAAAGCCCCTTCATCCTGAACTCAGCCCCTCTTCTTCCCCTTTCCCTATGAAGCAACCTCACCAGTTTTCCTCAAATAAAAGCCAAACCCAAAACCACCTGCAGCAAAAAGATCAAAATTTTAAGACAAAATTCTGAAACCGATCACAAAATCGAACCTCTCATTGCCAAATAAAACGAACCCAGATCAAGAAATCTAGCGAAAAGCACAATGAGCTTGCTTCCAAGCTCTTTTGATTTGGTTTTCTACAAATGAGGGTACAGGGGAGTTTTTCCAGTTTTGGTGGCCAGCTGTCCGTTGGCGGTCGACAAATTGAACAGTTAATATTCACTGTATGAGCACTTTGCAAGCAAATTCATCTATAATAATCTAATTTGTTTATCATTGTGAAGAGTAGTAAGCATTAAAAAGGAATGCGTGTGTGTATATATAATATATAACCTTTAAAACTTTGGTGGTTGACACTTTTTCTTTTGTCGGAGATACGAAGGAGATGGAGATAAACAGGGGAGAAGAAAATTTCTTAACCTTACTCTTGGTTTAGATGGTAAAAGAAATCAATGTCTACGCTCCTAATTTTATAACCACCAGGCTCCAGTAAACCCAACTCATAATACAATTTTGACACCTAATCAACTTCGGAGTCGACAAAGACTGTAACCAGAACTAGGACATTGACGCTGTGCCATCGATGGTAATATTTTAATCCTGAAGTTACACGGACCGTCGGATCAGAGGATAAGTTTCACAAAAAAACCCCTGAAGATTGGGATTTTGCACAACATCCTCCAGAACATTATAAGAGGAGAACCTCACGTAAGTTCAAACTTCCACTCTTCTCTAAAGTATAGAAAATCATATAAATACAATTTTTTTGAAAAAAAAAAGATACAACTTTATCGTTGTTTCTTGCTCTCCACATACGAGCATTATTCATTCAAAATTTCCATCACAAATTTCGATTTTACGGTAATTCAAACTTATTTTTGCCTGTTAACAACATCAATGAGGTTTTCCAATAATTTGGAGTGTATAATAGAATATTAAAACATTAAAAATTCCAGAGCAATTTTCTCTGGTTTATGAAGTCGAGGAGGTTTTTTTTTTTTGAAATTCATCTCAAACTAAAATACAAGCATCTAGTTTAGCACTATGGCATTTGTTTCTAAAAGATGGACTCAACTACCACTAAATTCATTTAATCTATGCACGTGAATTTCTTCGTGGAAGTGGTCCACTTAACTTTTACTCGTGTGAATTTTACAGGGACCAGACGTCCACAGGTGGCACCGCGGCTAGCGCCCTGTCGGAATGGTACAAAGCATTTGCATGTGAAACAAATAAAAACAGATCGCATTTTTTAACTCGTATACCGGTAAGTTTTCAAGTTTGAATAGAATTTTGAGTCGAGTCCAGATTTAAAACTCCTGTCTGAAAACTTACTTGAATACATTTTATACGCAACTACGATGAGCAGATAAGTAATGTTTCGAGAATAGTTCACGTTTTTATATGCCAAAAGAATGTGCGAGGTCAATGGAAGGGTTGCCGAATCCTCGCACGTACCCACGTACCGTATGAGCGCAGTCATTTACGCGGTATAGTTTATTAGCCGACAAATTTTGAAAATCATCATATTTGAGAAAATTAAGTGTACGTTCTAGTGCAATTAACTCTTTGATGGATGCTTCTGGCGTGGTTCAAAAAAATCCTGCTTTAGTGCAAAAAAAATTGTTACTGATCACATTGACAGCTTATTCAAGACCAGCTCTCCTTCAAGGGATGACATAAACAATATTGTAATTCAAGTGGTGCAACCAAAAGTTTTGTTGGAAGCTTTGTTCATGAAAAGGCAATTTTGCCTTTGTGAATAGTCCCACATCGGAAAATGAGATGAATAGTAAAGGGTATATAATGGTTCTCTCCTTATTTGGCTTTGAATAGTGTTTTGGGTTTTGTGGGCTTTGCGGTTCTACCACACTCGCGCGCGCGCACGCCGCAGCCGCACACCTTTTGCTTCTCAAGCCTTCATTTTTGCACGTTTTACACATTTTGTAACGGCTGCATGCGGGTAACGGAAGCAATAGCTGTGCGTAACGGTCCCTTGGATTCAGCGGGGGTTACACCTTTCATCACCTATAAAAGGAGGCTTGGAGCTCATTCAGAAACACACCAACGAAGAGGAAAATCTCTACACTCTCTTCTCTTCTCTACTCTTATACCTCCAAGAAAAGATTTCGGCTACATATTTACATATTCTATTTTCTGGGCAACTGTTTTTGTCTGAGCATAAGCTCTGTGTCTCACGCCCGAGTGCAGAGGCCGGCCGATTCCGGGGGTTTTTACCGCTAGGGGAGAGAGGACAAATTGCGCCAGGGCGATAGGCGGGTCCTTAATCTTCTAGGGCAGTGATATCACGACTGCTCCCAATCAGGCCTGAATTTTCTAACTCCTTAATTTGTTTATATTATTATATTCATGTTTTGACAGCAATCTAGAAGATTAAATATATTCTTGCTGTTAAGATAATTAGTTTTAAAATTTTTAAAAAAAATAAAAATAAAAATTAAAAAAAATTACTGTTCATCGGGATTACTGTTCACCCGAATTTCATATATTTTAATTACTTGTTGTATTAGTTAATTGTTTTAACTTGTTGCATCTAAATTAGTTAAAAAAATATATTATTTCTTTGTTGCTTCTGTGCTCAAATTCAGTATCTGTCATAAACAAAAAATCTTTAAGTGAACCGGTTCAAGTTTTCTTGGATTAGTTGGTGTCTAAGGAAAGGTTTAAGGGTTGCGTAAAGCGCTCTGCAAGAAACGAGGTACTTAATCGATCATTGATCAACCTCTAGTACTATCCTTACCTGGCCAAACTACCCGAGTAAAACTTTAATCTTTTCACTTTTAGAGTTTTTGGTTAAGAGCAGGTTTAATTAAGTTTCTGGTCTAGTAATATTGAAAAAATCTTTTTTTATATCAGATTACATCTACCTAGACTAGTAAACTTGAATTGGACTTATGGCAATTCCTGATCATTCAAAAAGTGTCAAACCTGAGAAGTTCACCGGTGTTAACTATAAACGGTGGGCTAATCAGATGAAATACCGGCTCACTACCTTAGGTCTTTTATCTGCTATTGACACTTCTGAGTCATCTACTAGTGGTTCTCAACCTTTGACTCCTGATCCTGCTCAACCTGCTCCTTCTACTTCTGGTTCTGGTGCTAGCTCTTTTTCTAGCTCTATGAAACCAGAAGAAATCAACTATCATTGTTGTCATAGGATCCTTAGTGCACCTGCGGACAACCTTTATGACATATATTATGAGTTCAAAAGTGCAAAAGACCTATGGAATGCTCTTGAAGCAGAATATGGCTATGATGATGCCGGAATTCTGCGTTTCACCTCCTCCTCCTTCAATAAGTTCATGATGGTTGATGACAAGCCCATTAATGAACAAATTCATAAATTCCTAGATTTCCTCCGTCATCTCCAATCAAAAGGAAACACTTTTACTGACGATTATAAAGTTTCCTGTTTGATTGATAAACTTCCTCCCTCCTGGTCTAGATTTGCTGGAGAACTCCGACACAAGCAAGGAGATCTAACCTTAACTGAAGCCCTCAAGGCTATTCGTATTGAAGACCAGCATAGGCAAAATTCCAATACCAAGAATGAAACAAAAGCTAAAGTAAACTTGGTAGAGGATAAGCCTAAATCTAAGAATTTCAAACCCAAAGGGAAGAAATTCAAGAAAAATCAACAATCTTTCAACAAATCCTCCTTCAAACCAAACCCCAATTCTCCCAGCCATAAGTCTGATGAGAAGTTCTGCTTTGTCTGTGATAGAACCAACCACATGGCTCACAACTGTTTCTTTCGGAAGAAGGAACCGGCCAAACCTGCCCCTAAAGGAAATGGATCCAACAAAGTTAATATGATTGAAATGAATCCAACCTCCTTCAGGTTAGCCTCTTCATCTCATCTTGTAAATTCTCTAACTTCTTCCACTGATTGGTATTTGGAGATTCCCCAGAAAATTCCGATACAACTCCGTATGAATATTGGAAGGGGAGATCTCCTAATCTGAATTTCTTCCGGGTTTGGGGTAGCTTGGCTAAAGTAGCTATTCCCGAACCTAAGAAGAGGAAAATTGGTTCTAAGACTGTATTTTAGTCATCAAATCTGAAATCAGTGACATATCCAACAATACCATCATTGAAGCAAGAGATGCAGTCTACTTTGAAAACATCTTTCCTTTCAAATCTAAAATCTCAGAAAATCCCAGATCATCCATTCCTTCTGATCTTCCATCTTCTAGTTCTTTTCAACCTCTTGATATTGAACCTCGAAGAAGCAAAAGAGGTAGAATCGAAAAGAATTTTGGAGAAGACTTCCTTACCTTTCTTGTTGAAGGTGATCCAAGCTCATTCCAAGAAGCAATGGATCCACCTGAATCTCCTTTCTGGAAAGAAGCCATTGATAATGAAACTAAATCTATCATGGAAAACCATACTTGGATACTCACCGACTTACCTCCAGGTTGTAAACCTATTGGTTGTAAGTGGATATTCAAGAAGAAACTCAGAGCTGATGGTTCCATAGATAAATTTAAAGCTAGATTAGTAGCTAAAGGCTTTACTCAACAAAAGGGCATTGATTATTGTGGGGGAGAGTATACCTCAAATCATATGACTGAATATTGTCAAGAACACGGTATTATTCATGAGGTTACTGCTCCCTATACACCACAGTCTAACGGGGTAGCTGAACGAAAGAATAGAACCCTAATGGACATGGTAAACTGTATGTTACTCAGTTCAGGAGCACCTGAAAATCTCTGGGATGAAGCTCTTTTTTCTGCTTGCTTCATTCTCAATAGGATTCCCCAGAAAATTCCGATACAACTCCGTATGAATATTGGAAGGGGAGATCTCCTAATCTGAATTTCTTCCGGGTTTGGGGTAGCTTGGCTAAGGTAGCTATTCCCGAACCTAAGAAGAGGAAAATTGGTTCTAAGACTGTAGATGCTGCTTTTATTGGATATGCACTTGATAGCAATGTTAACAGATTTTTAGTCATCAAATCTGAAATCAGTGACATATCCAACAATACCATTATTGAAGCAAGAGATGCAGTCTACTTTGAAAACATCTTTCCTTTCAAATCTAAAATCTCAGAAAATCCCAGATCATCCATTCCTTCTGATCTTCCATCTTCCAGTTCTTTTCAACCTCTTGATATTGAACCTCGAAGAAGCAAAAGAGGTAGAATCGAAAAGAATTTTGGAGAAGACTTCCTTACCTTTCTTGTTGAAGGTGATCCAAGCTCATTCCAAGAAGCAATGGA